CAGGAGACAGGGAGGAGAGAGCAGATCAGAGCAGAGCAGAGCAGAGCAGAGCAGAGCAGAGCAGAGCAGAGCAGAGCAGAGCGGAGCGGAGAGGAGGGGAGAGGAGAGAAGAGCAGAGGCAAGGAGAGTTTTTATCAACCAGGTCAGGGTTGTTCAGGTTGACAAGCTTGCTCAGGGCTCTCATCAGCGGCTCGTTGTCCTAAGTCAACATGTCACTGTAAACTTTCCGGTCACTCATCGTCCTCCACCTGCATGCGCCCAGCTGTGTCGACAAGCACAACATCGAATCCATTCTGAGACCCACGAAGATCTCAGTCAGGTAAGTCAAGTCTCTCCTCCTCCTCCTCCTCCTCCTCCTCCTCCTCCTCCCTCTCCTTCCTCCTCCTGCCCCCGCTCCTCCTGCGCCAGCTCCACCTCCTGCTCCTGCTCCTCCTCCCTTCCTTCCTCTTCTCCTGCCCCCTCCCGCGCCTCTCCTTCCTCCCCCGTGCGTCTGATGGCAACCTCACCTGCCCGGCATACTTCACCGCGTCCATCGCGATGCTCGCGGCGTCTTTGTTGTATCCCTTCTCGAAGACGGGCACCTGCAGGCCTTCACTCGCACGACCAGCAACCAAGGAGCAACCTCAAGTCGAGCCGCGTGAGTTTTCAGCTGCTCCACAGCTCCGCTCCTGAACGTGTCGCAAGCAGCAAGCAGGACCTGCGGGTTCGCCATGAGGGGCAACAGCAGCAGTTCTCAGGTACCTTGAGCTTCTGTGACTTGAGCCAGAAACAAACTTTAGAGAGCGAAGTCGACTTGCCGACTCCGTTGACGCCAACAAAGACGACGACGTAAGGCCTGCAGCAGACATGGTCACATCGATAGAACCAGCTATGCCCTCGTCTCCCACCTCTTCTCGTTCTGAGCCACTTTGACTTGTCGGAGAATGTCCATGCTCTGACATCGCAAGTCAGTCTTAACTAGACAAGATTTGACGGCGGCGGGTGAAAGAAAGCTCGAAGGTGAAACAGGTCGGGGACATCGGAACGTTGGGAACAATCCATGTCACAAGACCAGATCAAGGCTCAACCATCAAGGATGAGAGTAGAAATAACAACAAGACACAATATGGGGAGCACTGTCGGAAACCTGTTTCGGCGTCAAGATACGCATCAGACCGTCCTCCATAGCCGTCTTCACTGCGTTCTTGACAGCGTTATATCCACTAACTTGTTTCCCCTGAACGATAAGCGTCATGGCATTTTCCATAAGAGATTCAAAGCTTCAATCGTGAATTCAAAGATGCAACAATCTTTCCAAACATCATCAAGTCCAATCATCACATCTTGACAACTGCCGGCTGGAGCCTCTCTTTCATTCATCTCCAAATCTTCAACAACTCTTGCACATTCACAAAGTCATGAAACTTCACCTCCAACCCGTTGGCAACACTTGCGCATAATTTCTCTGCACATTCAACGGCCACGTTCTTCTCAACGAGCATGTCCTTGAACTGCCAACAACGTGACGTCAGAGTCTGAAACTTTCAAGAGATTTTCACTCGACCTGCTGGAGAACGGGTTCGAGCTCTTCTTTTTCAAGAACCCTCGCCGATCCGGTGAGATTCTGAGATACAAGTGAAAAAGCAACCTTACTGGAATTGCTTTCTCTCAATAAGTATCATATTGCCATCAACTCTATCAGCATTAATGTCATCCTTACTGTAATCTAAACCAAGACCTCTGCTTCTCCTGACCACCTCCTGCTCCTGCTCCTGCTCCTGCTCCTGCTCCTGCTCCTGCTCCTGCTCCTGCTCCTGCTCCTGCTCCTCCATTGCTTGCGCAAGTCCATTCTCATATCCTTCTACACAGCGTCTCCTGTTCTCCTTCTTCAACGGCTACCTTGAGATACGAGAAGAATCCTTTGCTCTTCCCCTTGCGATCTTTGCCCGCCTGCCATGGGAATTTCAGTCTGTTTGCTCGAGGCGGAGATGTCTTTACATCTTCATCATCGCTGCCAACATCCCAATTTTCAACATCGGCGACCTGTTAAAAAGGTATTTCAACTGACGAAGATGCTGCACATGTCAAGAGTGAACGAACAACAAGAGCAGCTGGAGGGACATCGGTGTCGACAAGCAACCCCTCAATCATCTCCTTACCCCTGTCCCAATGTATGCTTTCTTCTCCTCTTCATCCTCCTGCAATTCACACAGAACATATCAGAATGGCTCTGAACCCTCCTGGACGCTCTCCCACCTCATACGCGTCTTCCGGCTTGTCCACAGATCTGTCGAGCGAGCTTGCGTCTACCTTGCTGTTGGCAGCCAGAGGGTCCCAGTTTCGCGATTGTTTCTTCTTGTGCGGAGAGTCGCTGCCGCTTTCCTCCTGAGTTGTCTCATCACGACGAGACATTCATTCTCAATCATTTCTTCACGAAATCTCATCATCGTATCTCATTCAAACTACAGAGCTCTCATCGCATCTGGCCGAGAATCTCCAATCTTCATGTACGCATCTTTTCTGTATCCGTCTCACATTCTCCTCAACTCTTTTCGCTCTAACTGCATCATCTCATCTTGCAAATCACAACCTTGGCGGACTTCTTCTCCTTCTTGACGAATCCTCTCTGTTGTCGGATAGCTCCCTGACAATTGAAGCTCAGGTTGATAGCGTTTTGAAGTCATCGTCTCACCTTTCCTCGGACCTGCGGGAAACCATCTTTGCACTGAGGGCTTCCGTTTTCAGTTGCTTCTTTGTCCTCATCTTGCTCGTTGCCATCGTCCTCATCGTCCTCGTCGCCCTTGTCTTCTTTCTGATCCTGTAATGCATCATGATCGACCACGATTCTCTTCCATGCTTACTTTTCGAGTACTCTTTGCTTTGGCAGGCTCCTGGAAAACTTGTGAGCGCGACAAGAACGAAAAGCAGAAACGATCGGAGCAGGAGAGGGGCAAAGATCAGCAGAAGCTGTTTAGAAGGAGCAAATATTCCACCTTCTTCTGATTCGGATTTCTGATGTCCTTGGCGAGGCTTGTGTCTTCGAAATCCTTTTGTCCCCTTTGACGCCATGCCTTCGCCATGCATCAGACAAACGACAATACAGAACGAGCAGTCCCCACCTGCACATTCTGCTCGTGCTTGTTCATGATCCTTTGGAACTCCTTGTCGAAATCGAAAGAGACAGAAGGCTGACGGAAGAAGATCAAACTCAAGAAAACAAACAAGATCAAATTCATGAGAAGAGACTTCGCCTCATAACATAATTGCACGCCACAAATATCGACAAATCCATTGAACAATTCAGCTCAACAGTCCTCACCACTGGGATGGCAGAAATGCTATCCTTGAAGAGGCGAAGAAAGGCCTGGGGAGAGGAAGAAGTCACTTGAAACAAGACAAGCTGAGACCAAGGTTATGAACCGATTTCAACGATTCCAGAAGCTCGTCCACAAGCATCAAGGTAACAGCCTGGTCGAAAAGAAAGTCATAACACCGCTGATTGAAAGTCTGAGCCTGAAGCTTGCCTGCGCATACACTACAACGAAGACGAGGTCGAACTCGTTCACAAGCTTCCATCTCAGCTGTCATGCAAGATTAATACCTTTACATCGACCAACTTTGATCTAGCCTGATACGTGTCCTTCTTGAACACAGTCTCAGCGCTTCTCTCCTCCAAGATGACAGTCTTGATCTTCAAAAGCCAATTTCAGTGGTTGGCAGAGGTTCCACATAGATGTCTACCAGGTCATTGATGGGATTTCCTTTAATTTCACACAATTCCTTTTTCCACAAGACTGTCCCCCCCTGATGAATTCAGGTCAACACATGTTGAAGACGGGCGAAACAGAATCGTACCTTGTGCAGCACTGTAAAACAATCCAGCATGGAAGACATCTTCTGTCTACGGGAAAGGAGAGATGAGTGTCTAGCACGGCGTGAAGACATGCTAATCATGAAGTCTACAATTACAGCTGTGACATCTACTCGAACTGTCTTTGCATACTCGAAGTCATTCACTTCAGCGAGCAGAGGCAGCGAAGGAGTTCTTTGTTGTTCTCATGTAACTACGAGTAGATACAAGAAGGTGTAGTCAACCGGCCCTCTCCCTGTCTATCCCCCCTCCCTCCCCCCCTCCCTTTTCTCACCATCTTTCATCTTCGAGCCGATACTTACCCCTTTCCCTCCAATGCTGAAATCTCTCCACCCTTCCCCCCTCTGTCCTCGCTTCTCAAGGACTTCGCCCTCCATCTTCTCTCCTCCTCATCGCTCTCCTGCTCTCCTCCTCATCGCTCTCCTGCTCTCGTTTCTTCGCGGCCTCGCATGACATAGCTTCTCATGCAAACCAAACCCTACAAGCAAACCCCACCCCTGTTCTGGACCCCTACCCTTTCAATAAAAAACTTCCATTGAGTACCCCTACCATATCAAAATCCGAAGATAACCCCCACTTTGGTAGAGGAAACTGCAAACCCTACCCCTTCATTTGAAACGCATTCTGGTACCCCTACCCCTTGAAATCATTCTCTTTGGGTTTTTCATGTGCAAGTAACGGATATAACGGAGAAGTCAGTACTGAGGCAGGCTTGTCAGTACTGACCCGCCGGTACTATCACCCGGGTACTTGACGGTGACCGTACGGTACGGTCACTCGGCAGTCGCGGCCCGGGCCGCCGCGGCGCGGCCGGTGCACGGGCCCGGCCGCCGCTGGGCCTCCCCAGGCGGGACCCAAGAGTCACTGACTCAGTGTCGGGCCCTGCGCCGCACTGGGGCACTGCATGTCAATACGGTAGTACGGAACCACACTGCCAGGACAGGCTACGGTCACGGCGACGCGGGCCGATCCGGCGGGCCCCAGTCGGCGCGGCCGGCGGCGGCCCGGCCCGGCCGCGCCCGCCGCCTTGGCGGGGGGGG